CAACTCAACAAATCTTCAGTTACACACAAATAGACCTTACTTGGTCTGGAATCGGATATTGTAACGCAATTGCATATACAACCTGACCACCTTCCAAGAGGATCGCAGCGAATCCGGAGAGCACCCCAAAAATCACTGTTTTGATGATGAACAAATTTAATGATTGGAAGAATGTTATAAATAATTACTTATAATGTTGTGTTCTATAATTTATATATATAATTACTACTTTATATGCATATTTAATCGTTATTCCCTTAGGGAATAACAATTAAATAATATTAAAATTTTCTATTGTATATTTTATATGATAGATAAAACCTTTAATATTAAGAGCAGGGCGCGACAAATCGTTTTTTTTTTCACGGACGTTGACGTTCGTATCTTAAATTATTGACGAACGTCTAATTTAAGTGATACGTGTCAAATAATATATAAGAATGTAAGTTTTACATTCAAATAAATTTTTATTCTAGTTAATAAACTTTTGGATATATGAAAGATGATTATTGAATTTAATCAACTGCCTTATTTTCGAAACAATTTTTCATTGCAAAGTGTGCGCAAATTATTGATTTTTAATATGCAATGATTGTACACTGTTATTCAACGATGCAAAACTTTTTTTTTTCATTTAGTTTGTTAAATTTATTTACTCATAAAAAATACGTATAAACGTAAAGAAATTAAAATAAAAAGGACTAAAGAAATAAATCAAAAAATGACGTCTCATTTGTAAATATATATTAATTTTTATATTTATATAAACGGATTTAAAAATCGCTAGAACTTTTTAATTTATGGCTTTCCAAATGTCTAATACCAACCACTGCGTCAATCCAATTTTTGACATGTTTTTGGGGCAAAAAGTCTTCAATTAACTGGCCATCAAGCTTTATACGCATAATATCTTCTAAGGTATCGTCATTTAATGAAGTTCGCTAAATATTTTTTTGTAAGTTCATACAAGAAAAACTGCATTCGCAACTTGCCTTGAAGCGCTGAAAGTTAACATAATCTCTAACAAGACATTTATACTTGCCAATTCAGGTTCATTTTCCAGCAAAATATCTTTATAAATGCTTAAAAGTGAATATATCCTTAGTTTAGAGACTTTCTCCCTGAATAAAGACCACTGCAACAGACATAAACAAGAAGTTTCTCTGCTTATTATAATATTGTTCTCATAAAAGTTGCAAACACTTTTTATTTCATTAAATCCCTTCTTTATCAGTATTGGTAATATTTGGATATTTTTGGCAAACCCAGCAAGAGAAACACTCATTTGATTTGTTAATATGAATCCAGCTTAGTTGTTGCCCGTGTTTTTTATTGCTAGGCGGCAATCCATTTACGGTGTTATAAAACATAAATTCAATATCTTTTGGCCATATATCCAATTTTCCCAAATTCATAGCACAATCCAAGTCATTGAACTTTTTATTAGATGTTTAGATTCTCTCTTTTCTTCTCCTTTACGTTTAATATTACGTTCCCCTGTACCATCTCTCTATAACATCGAAAAGATTCTTAGTTGTTTTGACATTTTTTAAAAAATTTAAAAATAATAGTAATTAAGTATTTAATAAAAAGTTAATAAAAATATCATAATATTGGTGTTGTTACAATAAAACGCACAATAAAAAAATTAAAATTTTATCAAACATAATGACTTTATATATTCTATTAGATTATGTATTATTAGCAAAACTTGAACATTATTTTTAAAACTTTTCTAAGTTTTAAAACTTTTCTAAGTTTTAAAACTTTTCTAAGTTTTAAAACTTTTCTAAGTTTTAAAACTTTTCTAAGTTTTAAAACTTTTCTAAGTTTTAAAACTTTTCTAAGTTTTAAAACTTTTATAAGTTTTAAAACTTTTATAAGTTTTAAAACTTTTATAAGTTTCAAAACTTTTCTAAGTTTTAAAACTTTTCTAAGTTTTAAAACTTTTCTAAGTTTTAAAACTTTTCTAAGTTTTAAAACTTTTTTAAGTTTTAAAACTTTTCTAAGTTTTTAAAACTTTTCTAAGTTTTAAAACTTTTCTAAGTTTTAAAACTTTTTATAAGTTTTAAAACTTTTATAAGTTTTAAAACTTTTCCAAGTTTTAAAACTTTTCTAAGTTTTAAAACTTTTATAAGTTTTAAAACTTTTATAAGTTTTAAAACTTTTATAAGTTTTAAAACTTTTATAAGTTTTAAAACTTTTATAAGTTTTAAAACTTTTATAAGTTTTAAAACTTTTATAAGTTTTAAAACTTTTATAAGTTTTAAAACTTTTATAAGTTTTAAAACTTTTATAAGTTTTAAAACTTTTATAAGTTTTAAAACTTTTATAAGTTTTAAAACTTTTATAAGTTTTAAAACTTTTATAAGTTTTAAAACTTTTATAAGTTTTAAAACTTTTATAAGTTTTAAAACTTTTATAAGTTTTAAAACTTTTATAAGTTTTAAAACTTTTATAAGTTTTAAAACTTTTATAAGTTTTAAAACTTTTATAAGTTTTAAAACTTTTATAAGTTTTAAAACTTTTATAAGTTTTAAAACTTTTATAAGTTTTAAAACTTTTATAAGTTTTAAAACTTTTATAAGTTTTAAAACTTTTCTAAGTTTTAAAACTTTTCTAAATTTTAAAACTTTTATAAGTTTTAAAACTTTTCTAAGTTTTAAAACTTTTCTAAGTTTTAAAACTTTTCTAAGTTTTAAAACTTTTCTAAGTTTTAAAACTTTTCTAAGTTTTAAAACTTTTCTAAGTTTTAAAACTTTTCTAAGTTTTAAGACTTTTCTAAGTTTTAAAACTTTTCTAAGTTTTAAAACTTTTATAAGTTTTAAAACTTTTATAAGTTTTAAAACTTTTATAAGTTTTAAAACTTTTATAAGTTTTAAAACTTTTATAAGTTTTAAAACTTTTATAAGTTTTAAAATGCAAACTAACATTACTTCACTTTAAGGAAATCAAGAAAAAAACAAAACACACGCTATTAAAAAAAGCAATCGTTGTTTAAGCATGGTTTATTTTAACGTAATTGCAAATGAAGTCAGTTTATATAAAATTTAAAATGCATTTTTAAACGCATGCAAAAACCATGCTCAAATTACTTTCTTCGCTCCTTTGAAGAAAGTAGCTTAAGCGTGGTTTCTTTTAAAGTCTTTGAAAATGGGTTAAAAATTTTCGTAATTTAATGTTTTTTGTGTTTTTTTTAATCAATAAAAAACGATCAAAAGTTAATTAATTGGAAAAAAAAATTGCTATAGTAACGCGTTCATTTTGAAAAATTTTAGGCGAACGCCTACGTTTGCATTAGGAAAAGTTAAGGAACGCGACGTTCGTTTTTCTGTCTTTTTTTGTGCAGACGTTCGCACGTTCGTCGTTTTTTCGCGCCCTGTAAGAGGTGTTATTATTTCACTTATTTTTTTCCAGTTCTTCAAGTTAACATTAGAAAAAACCCCATCAGAGATTTTTACGAGATAAAATTCTTTTGTACAAATAGACTTTGATACCTTTTAAATGCTCTGAAGAGTACTAAAATAAAATGAATTTCTCGTGTTGATAGTAACGCAAGACTTGTATTGATAAATTTAGTTTATCATTATCATTTCGAAAATCTGCTTGCTTTGATTTTAATTATTTTTCAACAAAAGTCCACTTGCTTCTCTTTCAAAATCAGCGAATCAGATTGTTCATATTTCTGCCTATTCTGAGCATGTATAGGGTTTTAAAATATGATTCCCTGAATCAATTTTTTTATTAATTCTTAAATTTCATGTCTTTTTACCATTTTATTATCAAAAACCTGTTAAAAAAAACAACAACAACACTTTTTTTGATTAGTTTGAATAACTTCAATTAAATTTACAGAAAAGAAAAAAAAAGAAGTATAATAAAAGAAAAGATTGCTGCCCCAGCCCAAATCCTCAGTCGATGTAGCAGCAACCCTTTTCGGCAGAAGGCTGTAAGATAGTTGATATATATATATATATATATATATATATATATATATATATATATATATATATATATATATTTATATATATATATATATATACATATATATATATATATATATATATATATATATATATATATATATATATATATATATATATATATATATATATATATATATATATATATATATATATATATATATATAAATTAGTAGAAAATCACTTTGCAAAATTTTTTTTTATTCAACACTGTGTTTCATCAATAAAGACTCATCAGAAATGAGATCATTTCTGATTAGTATTTATTGATGAAACACATTGTTAAATGAAAAAATTTTTGCAAAGTGATTCTCTACTAATTTGTAATTGCTCTGTTCTTTTAAGAACATTGAACAATTTTTTTGTGGAATACATTTTAAATTGTTTAAACTCAGGCCAGATTGCCGGAATTTTTTTTTACCTTTATTTCTTAAGACATGTGACACAGACTGTGTAAATTAAATGAAAAAATCATTGGTAATGAAGAATTATAGGTAAGCTATAATTCTTAATTAATTTGCAATAATCAATTTTGTAAGGGTTTCTAAAAACTTAGGAATATAGTGGTGTAAATAAAATAAGAATTTTTCTCCAGTTTTGGGCAACAAACTAGCAATTTTTTCATCAAAAATATTACCTCCTCTAAGAAACGTCTCTCTTAATAGATAGATGAAGCAGGGGTAGATTAAAGTTTTTTTGCTATACAGAATATATGATAGTAATTATTATTATCGCTCCACTATTTTAACATTGCTTCTTCATTTTCTAATTTACCTATTATTTTCCAGCCATAAAACAATCTTTTTTTTTTTTTATAACTTCATCTGCTATTGCATTAGTCTTTCTTTTCTTTTTCCTTTAGGGAAACTTTTTCTTTCTTTTTCTGATTCATAGTAAGTAAAAAAAATTTGTTATTCTCATTCCTAAAATTTGATGCCTTTAAAGCTGATGTAGATGGCAGACAACCTTTATTGGTTGGTGAAGAATCAGAACTATCAGAGGAAGATTAGTTTATTTCTTTCATACTAGTCATATTGTCTCTTTGTGATTTCATTTGGTACTTTAACACGGATAAAAGCCAACTTTTAGCCAAGTGTTTTTACTCATCAGGGAAAAGTAACAGTTTATACCTTAGATCAACAGCTGTGGGCAAAACAAGTACGTGACTCATTAATATAATAAAGTGACCTTTTAATAAATCTTTGTTATTTTAACTTCGAGTTAGCTTTAGATCGATTTTTGTGAAAAACATATATGGGTCCATGTCAGGATCATACTGACATATTCATTGTATTTATAAAGTATATTAAACGATGTTATATTTATTTGTTTAGGGGCATGAGTATAGAAAATTATATCATTGGTAAATTAATTGGGAAAGGAAGTTATGGTGAAGTAAATCTTGCGCAAAGTAAAGTTGATAAGAAATGGGTAATCTTAGTATATTTTTTATAAGTACAGTTTTCTACCAAATTATTGTGCTATGTAATGCATAATTTTTAAGCTTTTTTTTAAATTTTAGTCAAAATAATAAATACTTATTAAAATCATTTAAAAAAAATAAAAACTTTAATAAAAAAAGGTATTCAAAATTTTTAGAAATATTCTGATATGAATGTTTCATTCAGAAAATAAGTACATTTAATAATCAAACCAGTTTGTTATAAAGTTCCCACACAAATTAGAAAAGTAGTAATTATGGCTTAGGAACAGTCACAGAAAAAGAATGAGACTTAATTAAATGACAAGTAACACAAGAATGACCTTTAGTATACGGCACAAAAAGCGCTAGCTCTTAAGAGCAGTGCCCATTATAGTATTTGTAGAAAAGAGAAAGAGAAGCAACATTACAACGATGTGATAATGGTTGGAGGTTGGCTGCAAGAGCAGGTTCAACTATGTTTACAATGCGTTTTTGCACCTTGTCTAAAAGAGAAAGGGCATCATTGGAAGGTCTGCCCCAGATATGGCAACAATATTCCATACAAGGACGGATTTGAGATTTATAGAGATAGAGAATAGAATCCAGCGTAAGAAAGTGTTGAGCTTGATTAAGAGATGCAACCTTAGCAGATGCTAATTTTGCAATTGATTTGATATATGGTTTCCAAGAAAGATTGGAAGTATGAGTTAATCCTAAAAGACGAAGGGTAGATGACTCATCGAGTACATTATCATTCATAAATATAGATCTAAATTATTGCAATAACCATTGGCTAAAAAAGTTCAGCCACTGTGAGCCCCATGCTGTAGCAGAAGTGAGATCCTTTTCAAGCTCAAATGCCCCTTTTAACCAATCAGAGAGTGTTGGCTTCTTATCATGACAAGAATGAATGATAGTATAACCAGCGAAAAAAACCAGCATGCTAAACTTTATCAAAAGCTTTAGAAATGTCAATTGCGATGGCCTTAACCTCTTCACCTTTATCTAATGCACGATAAAACCTATTGGTTATTACTGTTAACATATCAGCTGTAGAATAAGAAGATCAAAATCTGCATCGATGATCAGAAGGTATGTTACTAGATTCAAGACGAGAGATTTAATGTTTGTCAATTAAAGATTTAAAAACATTGCTTATGGTAGGAAGAAGACTAATGGGACGGTAGTTGATGATAGTTTCATCAAGGTGTGGTATGTTAAGAGGTAATTCTATTAGGTAATTAATTTACAATATCAAACAAATCTGTGGCAATTAGGTAATCAAATTTTCTAATAGTTTATAATGCTTCAACATTTTGTTATCTGTTTATTATTAGATCATTCTGCGTTTAAAGCTAAATTGTTAATGTGAAAAGATCTGTAAATATATATGTAAGTAATATGTTTCTCATCAAATGTCCCTGTTCTATGAAGCATACTCAATACAAAGTTTATTTACAATTGTATCAGACTAATGGTGAAGTACTTAAAGTATGCAAAGTGTAAATCTTAAGCTGGAGCAGGGGTTGTTCTAAGCTTGTTGCTGCATCTTTATACCAACATGTTAATTATATAGAGTTAAAAACTTAAGTTTTAGACATTAGAAAATGTTGTAAATGCTTTTTAACCAAAGGTCTGATTAGGAGTACATTAATGTTTTCCATTACTTAACTTTAATAAAACATCATTAAACCTTTAAACACTTAGTGAAAATTTAGAAAGAGTTTGGCACGGTATTTTAACTTATGTATAAATAGGATAACATTTGGATATTAATTACCTAAGCTAGCTATAACCACCAATAAACAATATTCTCAAACTTAAAAAGTTTTAGTCATGTATATAATTTATATATGGAAGTAATTAGGGTACATTTCAGATGTTTCGAGTCATGAAGTTTTGTGAAAGTATTATAATTATAAAATTTGATAGAAAAAAAGTTTTTTGTTATCATTTATATTTTTAATGCCATTATTCAGTTACACTTTTATTATTCAATACTTCACATTTGTTTTGATTTTAACAAACATGCACATGCCTCTCTTTCAAAATCAGCCAATCAGATTGCACATATCTCTGCCTATTCTGAGCCTGTATAGGATTTCAAAATATGCATTTGGAAGATGGTGGAGGGGGGGGGGGATAGAAGGGTTTAAGGAGAAGTTGTATTTCTCCTTGTCCCCTTCACATGCTCATGACTAAATATGTTCTAAACTAGTCAATAAATAACATATTGAAGTTTTAATTTAAAAAATAGTTTTAAAAAACATTTTATTTACTTTGTTACAAAATTTAAGTTTTTCAAAAATTGGAAAAGATGTCATTTTTGAGTGCTTACTTAGATCAAATATTACACAGACAATTGATGAGTCTTATTTTTTTCAGTAAACCTAAAATAATGTAATGATATACAATCAACATTTTTGCCAGCGGATTTGGACTGTCGCAAAAGTAATTTTCTGTGAGGAGCAAAGCGAGCGCATGAAGATATATTGGACTTTAAACGTTGTTACTAAGAACAGTATAAAGAAAACATGTTGGGAGACTACATTTGGGGCTACTTCAAGAGAGTGATTCACAGTACAGTTGTAAATCTAGAAAATCTAATATAAAGAACATTTCTGAACCTTGTTAGGTGGTTTCCAACCGTGTTTTTCTATTGTTTGAGCAATTTTTATTTTTACCTGGTCATAATGACAAAAATTTAAAAAAAAAACATTCTATTTTCATAAAAAAACAAGTTTTTTTCGTGCTGTTGTTGTGTAGATAATGTTTGTGCTTAATTAAGTCATTTTTTCACATTTTAGACATTTGCAATTGAAATGTAACACTTAGAAGCCTAGAACAAAAATTGTTTTACATAGTGTTATCTTTAGAACGTAAGTTTCACCACTATAAAAAAACTTTTAAGTTAAGAGTGAATGGAGTATTCATTAAAGTAGAAGCATAGAATGTAAAAACTGGCACTGCCAACACTAAGCCATGCAAGTGCCTTTAATAAGCGATATGAATGTGTCAAAAGATGAGAGTTCCATAAGAGTGGCCAAGAGTCTTTTTTTTTATAATTCTAATTCACTCCGAACAAGACTGCAAGCAACCACTATTAAGTTGTTACTACCACAATTTAGGAGCCACTCGAAAACAAACATTAGAGTTAAAGAACAAAGAAATGGTTGACAGAAAACTTGAAAATTTGTAGTTTGTATCAGTCAGGAAAACATGAATATGGGAAGAGGAAGAATTGAAGTGCTTGAAAAATAACTAGACAATTAAAAGTTTTTTGAGCACACAGTACAGATACAGTAAAAAGATGCGAGTTTGCTGAAAGGCGAGTTAAGCAAGAATGAGTCTCAGTGAGAGAATTTCATTAATATAGGAATTCATTAATATAGAAATGTTGACAATATGGCGATAGTTGTTTGCAGTAAATAACAGAATTTTGTTGTGGTTAAAATTCACAAACCATCTAATGGTCCACTAAGTAACCGCAAAACTACAGTGGACTGCTCAAAATGTCTATATTTAAATAATGCGCAGAACAAGCATATAAAAGATTTGGATATCTTTCTTTGATTAAATCCCTCATTTTTTTCACCTTATTTTTATTATCTGTTACCATAGTGAATATTTCTTTGTTGTATGTTTCAAAGGTAAAATACTTGGTTGTTTTTTTTATTTGATGCACAATCAGTAATGCATAAAATTTTAGACTTAAGTCCGTTATATGCCCTATGACCATTAATAGGATCATTAGTAACACTACTCCATCCATCTTGCATAATTGTTATTGCTTTATCTTCTTGAAAAAGTTGTTCCATCATTTTGTTGTTTACTTCCTTGTAAACTTTTTCTAAGAGCTCTCCTCCAAGCATTTTATGGTTAGGTGGATTGTATCCTTGTCTTAATGAATTGATCATATCTATAAATTCTTGATTTTCAGAAGTTTTAAATGATACATTTGCACTGAAGAAAAATTATATCATATCAATATTTTCTTTCTATTCCATATTAGTTAATATTGTATATGATGACATCAACCGTTGCTTCTTGTTAATGTTGGCAAACTTGTGGAACTAACAGATGCCAAAGAACTTTTTCCAACTTGAGAGATGGTCCAGTTATTAGAAAAGATGCACTAATATTTAAATCATTATTTGAAAGTACATTATCACTTTTTTTATTTATATATTTTGACAAACTGAGATTGTCCTCTTCTGTATCCTTGTGTAAAAACTTTTAAATGGGGCTTTACTTATTCTATCTTGCTGCTAATCTAAACATGAAAATAGTCACAAGAAACCTTTGTACTGTTTTCAACTTCAGTTACTTCATCCTGTTCTCTAGCTTTCTTTTTCCTACTTCCAATTAGCATTTTTAATTATGAAAAGTATTATTTTTAAATCTAAAATAAATCAATACATATAGGTTTAACATGAATTTTTTTATGTTTTATTACAGTTTTAAATTATTTTTTAAACTATAATAAAAAAAAAAAAACTTTTTAAAAATAATTTGAGAATGTGTTGTTATAAACTTTTAAATACATATAAAACATAATTTAAATAAACTTAAAGTTGAAAATTATATTAGTTTTCAATATTAATAAACAAACAAAAAAAAAGTTTTAATAAAAAAAAAACAACCCAAAATTACCTAATAAAACCCACTGGACCAAATTTAAAAAAAAACAACAACAAGTTTTTGTCAACCCTAATTAGAGGTGTTCTCGTGGTCGCTCAATAGTGCCAGGCTACCAAATTTTGTGAAGGGCAGCTAAAAGTATTTCTTTGATGCAGTTAAGTCGCTCACAATCAGCTATTGATTTTTAATAGCAGTTCCAGTTTTTTTTTTCTTTTTTCAATTCAAGAATTCTATAAAAAGAAAATTAATATTTAAAAAAATAAAAAAATTTGTAAAGTCAGTTTCAAAGTTTTTGAAACTGACTTTATAAATTTTTCTATTATTAGTTAGAACATAATAAAATTGTACAATTGTTTAAACGTATTTA